CGTCCGGCCCGGAGTCCCTCCGGCCGCCCCAAACACCACCCTGAGCAGGATCCCTCACGATCAAAGGGACGAGCCCTAGCTTGACCCGCCTGTCGAGCCAATAAAGGACTTTTTTTGTTGAAATAGAAAACCCCTGAGCTGCAGAAGTGCCTGTGGATTTCTGTTAGCGGTTGGTGGCCTCAGACCCCCTCCATGGGCTCAGCTGGAGAGCTTGGGTGGCATCTCAGTTTCGTCGCCTGGCTGGACATGGCTGCTGACAGCCACTGATCAGATGCTGTTCTCTGCTGTCCCCTTCTTTTCCCCCCGCTCTCAATCTACTTAAATTTCTCAGGCCAGAAAATGTCTCATCGTAGGGGGCTTTGCAGCACCCAGGCGCTTCCAGGTGTGGCTGGAATTTAGAGAATTAATGACAAGAGAAACAAAAAGAATAATCTAATTGCCTGGCCATCGTCTGGCTGCAGGCGCCCTCCTGACGAGCGGAGTAACTCCCGCTACTCCAGCTTGGCGCTTGGTTTATTGAATAGACTCTGCCCCTGCCCGAGCCCGTTCCCTGAGTGCGGCTCCGCCGAGGCCCAGCCCCGCGCTATGAAAGGGGCCGCCGAAGCGTTCAGCCCCCGCGGCGGATGCCGTAGAGGAGGCAGCCCCAGGACGCGAAACCCTGGACGCTGCAGCGCGTGGCAAGCGCCCAACTGCACCTCGACCGGGGAAGGTGCTGTGCAGTTACGAGAACCGGGCATAACCTTTGTGTGGTTTAAAAAACACTAAATGTGCCAAAAAGCAACAGCAAATTGTCTTCAGGGAACAGTATAAATGAGTGTAAGCAGCAAATTCACCATTTTGACTGTTTTCCAATTGCCTGTAGCTACACTTGTTAAATTGAGTGCTGCGTGCGTAAATCAGAACAGGATGTTTCCTGGTGCCTAACAATGGCCGAGCTCTGCGCCAGCGCTGGAGCATTTTCTGCGTGGATCCCACATGAAGTGTTAAACGTATTTTTCCCTATAGATCTCCAGACGCGTTGCACATGTACATACAGCTAGCCAGTCTAACATAGCTGCTATTTTTTGAGACCTTTTTAAGATAAGGTTAATGAAAAATCAACAACTACCATCCTTGTTGGTTTTTATTGGGCCCTAGGGTGCAATTAAATGTTAAGGTTGTTATTGCATTTTCTTGACAGATTGGATTTCCCTGTTTCGGAAGCCCGTGTGCACCCAGTACACACCTACCTCTCCTCCTGGGGTGAGGGTGACGCTGACATCGCTGCGTTGGTAGAAGAAGGGCAGCAGGACATCTCTGCCGAGCAGAAATTGGGGAATATTTTCCACCATTAAAGGGAAATTGTCCAGGCTCCAGTATATCTTAAAATTGAACGTGCCTTTGCCCATTTTATTTGCAAGACAAATATTGCAGCTGTGTGTATCTGTACATGGGTGTGCTACACAGCCTCGCTGGGGGCTGTTCCAAGAACAGAAGCTGTGAACAGCACAGGGGTGCTAAGCAGCCTATGTCACACTCTTCCACATACTGAGATACCTGCTATACAATATATTGTTCCTGATCCTGACATCCTATACCCAATCTATGGAGATATCCAAAGACCCTGTGGTCCTTGGAGCATCTTTTCTCAGTAGGTCCAGGTGAGTTATGGAGCTGAAGCATCCCAGTGTAAAGCGGGAATGGGAGCACAGAGAGCGAGAGGCTGTGACAGAGAGGGGAGCTCGCCCTCCTGTCCGCCCGTCACACCTTCTAGCAGGTAGAGTGTTCTTTAGCTGGAATTGTGGTATCTTCTTAAAAAGGAAGGTTGATCCTGTAAGGAACCCTGAAATAAAAAAAAAGAAAAGAAAAAAAAGAGATCACCCACAAAGGGGGAAGCAG